GGCTGGGCACCGCAGCAGCACCTCGGTGCCCAGGGTGCCGTGCTGCAGGGCGCAGCGGGCTGGGGGACGTGGCAATGGGCATGGGCTGCACCCCCGGGCGCAAACTCCCCATTCCCCCACTGTGGTCCCTGACAGGGGGGTCCAGGGGACACACTATGGTGGGGGCAGGGGGTTGTAGGGGGTGACACTGGGTCAGGAAGGGTCTGCGCCTCCCTGGGCCCCCCAACTCCATTCCCAGAACCCCAGTGTCCCTCCCTCCCCAATGCCCCCAGTCCCCTCACATCCCCCAGACACCCAGTGTCCCTATTCCTCCATTACCATCCCCCCTATGTCCCCAGTCCCTCCAGTATCCTTATACCTCTAATCTTAGACACCTTGTTACTCTGTACCTGGTCTCTTCAGTGCCCCTATACCTCCATCCCTGCTCTCTCCATCTCCATCCCCAGTGCTCCCAGTTTGCCCAGTCCTGCTGTCTCCACTCCCACCAGATACCTCCATACCTCCATTCCAGCCCCCCTATTGCCAGTCCCCCATGTCCCCATACCTCTGTCCCCAGCCCTCCTGTCCCCCCGACTCACCCCAACCTCCATCCCAGTCCCCCCAGTCCCTCCCTCCCCAGTCCCCCATGCACCCATACCTCTGTCCCCAGCCTGCTTGTCCCCCCAGGTCCCACCATACCTCCATCCCTGCAGCCCCGGTCCCTCCAGCCCCAGCCCCACATGCCCCCATACTTCTGCCTCCGTTGTCCCTGTCCCCCCGTACCTTCATCCCCAGTGCTGCCCGCCGTGTGGTTGTAGGGAACAGCGCAGGCAGGTGCCACAAAAGCCACCACCCAAAGCCACTTCATGTCAGGGAGACTCAGCGGAGCTGCCCGGTTCCAGTGATCTGTGGGAACGGGCAGGATGGTCAAACCCCAGGGGAGGGGACAGCAGGGACACCATGGCCACGGGTCCCCAGGTGGTCCAGAGACATCGCCCTAAAGCTGGGGGTCCAAACCCATCTCTGGACCACCCCACAGTGCCGTGCCTCAGTTTCCCTTCTGGCCTTGCCGCACGCCCTGGGGACAGGGGATGGTTTCTCTCCGCTGCCGCCACTGATCCTGACAGATCCTGCTTCCAGGAAGGAGGAGAGGGCATAGGCGCCTTGTGTGACCAGAGTTTCCCACGGGGACCTGCAGCCACCCCTGCAGTCCTGTGCCTGTAAATCAGCTTTTGGGTCACCCTGGGCCTTGGCCAGGGAAGGGACTGGCACGCTCGGACAGCCCCCACCTCCCAGGGCACAGAGACCCTCCAAAACCCAGCCTGGGGGCTGAGCTGAGTTCCCTGCTGTGACCAAGCCCAGCATCACAGCAACGGATCCTGCCCCTGTCATCGCCCACCCCGGCTGTGGGCTGGCTCAGCCCCCGGGGGGGGGACATGCCTGGCTTTCCCCGTTATCATGGGCAAGGGCTTCCCCACAGTATCCTGCGGCCAGGTGCTGTGGGGCCACTGCTAGCCCCCCGGCACCC